TATCGCATTAATACGTGGCTGAGATTCATTCCATGCCCATTATTGAGACAGAAAATCAGCTTAGCCAGCCGGTCCCTTCAGTTTGAAAAATGCTCGCCGTTAAATAAGGGCAAAGAGAAAGGACCCAAAACAATTCTTGGGCCCCTCCCTTCTTCTCTGGTTCTTAAAGAGTCTGTCCAGACAGCCAGAGTGCACTTTGCTCAGCCTGATCATAAACCGAGACAATAAATTCAAGCAGACTTCTTAAATGGACAACATGAGAGAAACCTTCAGACTGTCAGAGATCAATTCTGCCAGCATGGCAGGGAAAGCCCATGTGGCCACAACAGGCAGTTAAAAGCAAGCATTCTCTTTTTCCTAATCTTGGTGGGGACTGAATCGTGGAAGAATCGATTTCTGCAGCTGTGGGGTTTTTTTTGGTTTTGTTTTTCTTTTTAAAAACGCACAACAGAGATCGGTGGAATGCAGAGTACGAAGACATGTGCTGCAAATGGCAAAGTGTCAAGGTCTTCCACATCAAGCCCTCCATCTCACATGTTGTTTCAAAAACAAGCCGGGTCGAGAATTCAATTGTTACTGGGACACTAATAATCAATACAGACCCTGAAGGAAAACACATCAAATGTGAAGCTAGTTTGGCTTCCCTTTGCATTTTGGGTTTGCCCAAAGTTTCATGAACAAAACTCCCGATGCTGTTAATTCCAACAACAACATATGACACGGGGGGGGGTCATAAAATCCTATACTACATAAATGTAGGCCGCTAGTTTTCTTATCAAAACCCAGGATTAGCAACTTAAGGTGGGCCCTGCCTGGCTGCTTTGAAACAACAGGATTACAACCACTAAATGAACAACGATGGCCATAACCATCGGGATAAACTCTACATGGATACTTTTGTTCTTTGCCTGCAAAAAAGTTTTACTGATGAGAAAGGGGAAGGGGGGGTTAAACCGGGTGGTTCACAAGCCTTAAACCACTGGGTGTGCTGCCACCTTGTGATGTGCTCTGAGCCCTGCATATCTAAACACACCCTGCATTCATTTCTGTAAGCTCATAGCTTCAGAAGCAACACCAAGGACAGAGCCCTGGGGGGGGGGGGGGGGGCAGCCTCCCCCTGCAGCAGGAGAGCCTACCAAAGAGATGGACGTCACTGATCTTTCTCTGTGATCACAGCGGAGGCTTGAGGCTGGCCTCTTGTCTGACCGTGCTCTTGCTTCATCCCCTATCTGCTGCTCGCCGGAGCCTGCAGTCCTGTCCCACCATCACTCACTCTGCGGGGCAGCGGGCGGATTAGCCGACCCCCCTCGGTGTGGGAGTAGCAGGCCCAGCAGTGCTCTGGGCAAACACTGCAGCCCCGGAGCAGCTGAAACTACCAGGCGAGGTGATCAGGGATGCTCCCCAGGATCAGGCGGGGGCCACAAGGGGTAGATAGCAGCGTCTCCGGCACCCTCGCAGTCAGTCGGCATGGCAGTGAGTCTGCGGGCCGTCGGAGATGGATGAGACGTCTGCCCTATCAGCCTGTTAATGGTCAAGTGTGATGCTTTTTGTTTTTCTTGGAGGTATGAGGGAGCAGCTCCAAACTGACACCAGTTTGGAGCTGCAGCACATGATCTTCTGTAAAAAAACAAAAACAGTTTTATGTGCTGCTTTAACAGCTCTGACTCTCTTTTTATAGTGATGTCGGTTAATGATGATGGACGGCAAGAAATAAAGTAAAGAACTTGGGAATTTCTTGATCTACAACACACAAGACATTACTGGATCCAGTAAAACACAGATAACTGCGTTATTACGTTTAGGAATAGTGCAGAACCGCTTTAATTTTTCTGGCCCTCGGGCAGCACTAATGTATGAAAGGACACAAACGGAGCTGGGTTTGGAGATCACAGTAGCCGGGATCACAGCGTGGGCTCAGGGACACCTCTGAAGTCCATTATCAGAGATCACATTGAGTGGCTCCATCCGCAAATGCAAGATTAAGTCAAATATGCAAAAACAGAAAAAGATCAAGAATATCTGCCGCTTTTTATCCACTAGAGATGAACTGGAGGTGAAACAGAACAGTGGTGACACATTCAGATCTGTAATACTGTGATAAATCATTCACACTGTATCCTTGGGGCTTTAAAACAAAAAAAAAAGGTGATGGTGGGTGGGGAACTTGTCTGGCTTTGGGTGCATATTTCAAAAGCCAGCATCAGCGATGGTAGAGAGAATTAGTGCACACAATTTGGATATCTTGCACATCTGTGGTGGGATTAATTCAGGCCTGATGATTTTACCGGGTATTGGAGCCACATAGCGTCCAGGAGGCGACTCGGTCAGGAAAGGCCTTCCTCTCAGCAGGACGATGTCAAACCACATTCCCACCACACTGTGGAACAGCATGGCTCTATACTGGCTAAACAGCACAAAGTAAACATGCTCCTGTCTACAGGACACAATGGGTCCTGGCTTTTTTTAAATTGGTTTGCAAGCAGAACATTTTGTTTTGTGTTGCCAGGTGCCTCAATGCAAACTGATAACTGATCAGAGGGCGACAACATTTTCAAACAGTTGCATAAGCTCTCTAAGTTGCTGAGACACCGTGCTGGAAGTTGTCGTTCTGCTGTGCAGTGTGTGCCAACAGAGAGATTTTGTATATCACTGCCTGTGACACAACCCCAAAAATGTTCAGTTTGTGGAGTCACAAGCCAATAAGTTACAATGTAAGCGTCCATTTGTCATGGTATCATGTGCCATTTGCGTTTAGTTTACTTGAGAAGATTAATTCATTCAGTCATCTCTACTGAGGGTATTTTCCACACCCGCTCTCCGTCCCTCCCTCTGATTAGCATAGCTGACCAATCTCATGTAAGTGCCAAGTCATTATAAGGCTTTAACACTTTTAACTTCTCCACACCAAACCTCTGTGCCATCCCCTCACCTCACAAAGGCAGACACTGCACAGCAGGGGAAAAACAGCAAAATGCTCATTTTCAGTCTGTAAGAGGCCGCCAACGTCCAAGACGAAGACTGGAAAACAAAACACAACAAAAGCTATTGAACAATGTAGCAGAAGATAGAAACGGGCAGTTCTTTCAGTGACCTATGGTTCATTCAGAACTTTATTTCTGCTGTATGGTCGTTTTCAAAGCACTTATTCGCAATACAGACTGAACGGTTTTCAATGATACGAGTCGTACTGCATGTCAAACATTCATGCCAAAGAAAATATTACCAATACAGTTCTAACAGGACACTTACAGGTATGGAAAAAAAAAGTACAAAATAGGCTTTATTATAACAAGACAATACTACTGTAAAGCGTATTAGTGCTTCTAGCTTAAAGTTTTTTTCTGTTCCGTGGAAAAAAAACAAACAAAAAGAAAAAAAAATTCCTCAAAGGCTGCTTTGAGTTCTGAAAAACGCAATAACTCTCTCGTGTGGTTACCAATTCCCAAATATCAAAGGAGACTAACCATTTTACCTCCACATGGACAACTTGCTTTTTAAAAAGAGATGAGGCAAATCCTGTCTTTAAAATTGAATTAGCTTTCCTCCCAAATAGAAAAAAAGAAAAAACGTTCAACACTTTGTACACCAAACAGATTTTCTGTTACACAAATGAAAAACTTAGGCTTACTGAGATCTATTCCAGAGATAAACGCTTGCACAGGTGTTTGATAGAAAGCTATTGCCGACAAAAGTATATCAGCTAATAAAACATGAATATCAAAGCAGAATGCTTGAGATTTTGAGGCTACATTGTAGGAAGGCAGTGAAACCTATAATTCCTATTGTGTGGGCTGCGATACAAAATAATTTATACTGCACTTTATTCATCAATAGATTGTACTCTCTAGCTCAATAAATGCTGATTTTAAGAAGAGTGAATACAATTAAATAAAATAAAAAATAAAAAGATGAAGAGCACCTCTTCCCCATACAAATTAATGAACAAATGGATTTTTGGAAGGAAATGGCACCAACTGGTCAATGGTAAATTAGCAATGCTCGTAGCATTGTTCATTTCATATCGGACAATACCACCAACTCTTAACAGTTTAACATTAATTTCTTACAAGATACTCTTTATAATGACACATTTGCATCAAAACAGTTACTTGAGACCGTGCACTGGACAGACGAAGCATTAGTTTTAGTGTTTGCCTTAAAGCCCTACATTGCAGTTCAACTCTGTGGCCAAAAAGGGGGGTCAAAACACTGCCGTTTGTTACAATTTGGTAAACAAAATACGCGTAGTGTGCTACCCACAAGCAGTCACACTAATGTGTGTGTGTTCTGAGACAGAAAATGCATTTACCTTTTCTAGTGCAAACAATTCAGTCGGCATAGAGAGCGTCCAGCTGGCCAAAGTTAATGCAGGCGGCAAGCTGAAACCCTCTAAATAATGCAAAACCTCTTCAACTTGGCATAACGAAAATGTAAGTATTTCAAGTTCATGTCTGGAGCGCCCATACAAATACACTTGCATAAAGATTTACAAAAACAATAAAATTTGACCGCAGCAGGCAATGACTGTGACCGATGCATGGAGAACTTATATAGAAATAAAGACCTCCTCTACCACTCTGAATCTCCCCAAAGCCCTTGGTGAAATCCGAAGATGGGGATTTCCCCCCCTTGAGAGTTCATGTTCAAGAGTGAATAAGAACTTTATGTTAAAAGACAAATAGCAGGTTCAGTTATCACGCAGAAAGAGGTAAACACAGAGGGGAGGATGGAAGAGGGGTGGGAGAAGAGTCAGGCTGTTTGGATGACACAAAGAACAGCGAAACTGATTTCAATCAAAGAGTTTTTTTTTCCATATTTTGTAACAGAAGATCCATTTGAACACAATCACAACAATGAAGAGAGCATCTAGAGTATAGTGTTAAGACGTGGCTGGCTGACCCAGGTGCTGTGAGGATGGCAGCAGCGGCAGCTGGTGTGGATGTGGCGTAGCAGGCGTTATTAGGGTGGGCTTTAAAAGAACAAAGAGTCTGTTAGGAGCTCTAGTAAAGCAGGATGCGGCGCTCGATGGCCTTGCGGCAGATGGGGCACTCGCTCATTCGGTCCCCGCACAGCTGGCAGGTTCCGTGGCCGCACATGAAGATCATGTTCTTCAGCCGGTCCAGGCAAACCGGACACATGGTCTGCAGGGAGGTGAGATTGTATTTAATTTTCGCCTGTTAACGCATGAACACAAAGTTAAAGGAGTGAACCTGTGCCGCAGTGGAATCCAGCTTTCCCCTTTCTGTTCAGTCCAAATATCCGGTATAATGTGCAGGCTCACCTGTTCCTTGATGTCTTGAAGCTGCTGTTGTAACTTCTGCACATCTGCATTGACATTGGTGTTGTCCTTGTCCCTCTGCAGGGCCGGGATGTTTCCACTAGCTGTTTGGATACGAGATGAAAAAAACAAACTGAGAGGAAAAGTGGATTCTGGTGATCAGCCCAAAGATGAAAGAACTTAATTAGCACCTCTGACTCCTGCAAATCTCACCAAAAACGCGATTTATTGCCGAGAGAAGAACTGTACCCACAGCAGCATTACCGCCGGGCACTTGATTTTATTTCAGAACAACAGTTTTACAAAAGAACGTGGATTACAAAAACATCCACTTTGCATTTTATCATTTGGCAGATCTCTTCTGGCTCAGTGTTCTGGCTCACTTGCAATGATTTGAGTTCACAGTTTGCAATTATGTGCAAAATAAGTTGGCACAAGCTCTTTTGGCACTGCACATTCTGCTGGTTGATGTGTGAAATAGTCTCAATATGCTATGTAGATTTCTCTGGACTGGCATCCTGTTGGGAACTCCAAGGTGGCTGGCTTTCACACAAAAACATCTGCCAGAAGAGGGGAATGTCGCTCGATATTCATCTCAAATACATTATTGTCTGATTTTCAACATGTGCGTGTCACTGAAAAGGAAAGGGAATGGGGTCAAAGGGGGAGGAGCGGGGCCAGGGCAGCACTGCAGGGAGTTCTTTCAATGCAAGTCTCTGATAAGGGAGGGGATCAGCGAAGTATACTTACACCAACTTAGTGCCAGATTGTTGGGCTGGAGAAGATCCTGCGATCCCCCTGCCATAGAGTTAGAGCTCCCTGCTGGGAATAACCAGTCACATCGTTATAGTAGGAGCTGATTTCACCAGCTCAACAGTTGGCCTGATGACCAAAACTACTTACTACAGCCTTTAAGGCAGGTTCAGAGGAAAAGAAATAGGAAGAGGAAGGTATTGAGTTGGAATTAGCTATCATTGAACAAAAAGGAAAGAGCTACGTCCTTGCAGAGCTGAGTAAAAGCAGCAAGCGTTTTTTTTCTATTCATTGTCACTGCCTAAGCATGAGTTTAACGCCTCTGCTCGCTGGGATGGAAGGACATTATGTAATCCACAGAACGACGTGGATGTAGGGAGTAAAAAAAAAAAGTATTATTGTTTCTCTTTGAAACAGGCAGCAAAGGTTATTATTATTCGAGACAATGGGATACGGGATGTAAGCATTCAATGCTGCCCCTTGCATGAGTGTATGTTTTGGTCTGTATTCATTCTGGACACCCGATAAGGAGAGCAGGTAAGTTTGTGGAGAAAATGAACGAATACGATTGAAATCATGGGAGCCGTGAACTTGCAACAGTTTCCCTTTTAACTTAAAATGTGGAAAATACAGTACAAGTAAACAGGAAAATAAATAGCATGGCAGATAAAACAAAAAAATTTAAAGCTACATTACCTGAGACTTTTGCTTTGTAGAAAAACCCTATTTTGTGCATAAATCATGACAACTAAAGCAGCGTTGCAGAAAGGAAATAAGGCGGTAGGACGCACAGATAGTGCGAGACGTTTTAGAATTCAAAAAGTGTTCTTTGCCCTTAAATTAATTTAAGGGAGCATCTATTTACGTGCATAAACTTACAAATAATTTAATCAATTTGAGATAAATATGTTTAGTAAAACTTCTGGGGTCTGCAGAATCACAAATAATAGGTAATTGTGTTATCTGTACACTCTCGTCATGGAATTATTCAACTAGACTCAATGTAGAAATTGATACAGCATTACTTAAAAAGATTAGGACTTGAAACACAAACTTTTGAATGCATTAGTTTAGCTACTATGTACTAAAGCTAATATTCACAAGAAAATTTATACAGTTGACAGAATCAAATTGAATGTTATTATCAAAACATGCTAGATTAAAAAGTGCAATTAGTGTGGAAAACAGGACTAATTCAAGTATCTTGGTCAGATTAACTTACAAGAGTTTCTACTGTGTTTTTACAAGGAAAACAAACCAACCAACATAAAAGTGATGCAAATAAAATATATAAGCTAGGCAGAAACTCAAAAACATCTAAATAAATAGAAGATACTATAAAAAAGTGTGTAGAAAGGAGAAAGAAAAGAAAATAAGAAGTGGATTAAAAGGGAACATGTGGAAGATTCACTCACTAAGGTCATCATCATCATCATCATCATCATCATCATCATCATCAGCGGCATCATCCTCCATACCTTTCCCTCCACAGCAGAGAACAAAGGGGGTGCGGCGTTCCACCACAGCCCGGCACTGTACGCACTTCTTCATGAGGCTGGCACAGTCTGCGGACAACAGACAAGTTCAGACCCAAATGCAAACTGACCCAAGTCCAAATAGAAGTCAAATCAGAATCAGAATCAGAAATACTTTAATAATCCCAGAGGGAAATTATTTATGAGGGCAGCAGAAGTCAAAGAGGAAGTTGTGATGTTGACATGGGTGTGCGACTTACTCTCACAAGCGCACATGTGACCACAGGGCTGGAATAACACCGCTGCCTTTTTGTCAGAGCAGACTACGCACTCCTCAATCTGTAGAGGGGGACATTGAACACAGAAAGAGAACACAAGGCAATCCAGTCTCTGTCATTTCCCGGCCTATGATTAGGACATGTTGAAGTACGACTCCTGATACCTTGGTTCTCGACTGGACCTGATCCTTACAGATGAGACACTTTTTGACCCGTGGCGAGCACAGAGAGCAGGTGGCGATGTGTCCACAGGGCCCAAACAGAGTGTCTCTCTTCATGTCGGAGCACACCATACACTCCTCCAGAGACTCAATGTTGCTGTTCAAAGATGGGCTGCGGGTACCCACCTGGCCACTGCAACATTGATATCAAAGCCATGGGGTGTTAGAAAGCACATGCAACAGTGGCCGAAAAAACAAGAGGAAAATAGGCAGAAACGCAGAACGTGGTGTGTCTCAGATGCTGCCAGCCGCTGCTGACGCGTAACTATGGAGACTCTTCACTAAACAGTTTGAAATTATTCCGATAAACCTCAAAGTCCTCTCAAGAAGAAAATAGTATTTAAGAAAGAAAAAATTAAAAATACATGTTTCAGTTCAATAAAAAATAACTGATGATGTTATATTAAATTGTTTTCATACAAGATATGAACTACTACATTTCGGGGTAAGCAACTGAGTCAACACTCAAGAATTTTTATCTTTATGTCAAATTTTACCCTCCACCTCCTGACTCCAGCTTCACATTTACTGTGCAGACATACAGACTTGAAAGTGGTATCGATCTTCTTGTTCAGTTCATCGCAAAACAGCCAGTAAGTGCATTTCCAAGAATGTCAACCAATTCCTGAGATGTTTACCTGCTCTTCTCTTTGTGACATTTAGCCAAAGCCTTGCAGAGGCTTGGGTCAGGACACAGGTCTAGAGGGGACTGGCCCTTTTTGTTCCGAACGGTCAGATCTGCTCCGTTAGCTGCCAGGAAGCAGGCTATGGATGCTGCACTCTTTTTCTCGGCCCCTTGGGTGCCCAAGCCCATGATTAACTGCAGACAGCCAGACAGAAACAAAACGGACAGAGTGAGACATTTTTTAAACAAGATATATTATTTGCAAATGGAAGTTAGTGAAAACAGTGCCCGGCACGTCAACATTCAATAAAGTCCAGAGTAGGGAGAGTAAGGACTTCAGCTTTTAATACATCATGCAAGTACTCAGGGTTACACTCAGGCCCCCCATATCAACATAGATCAATTCACAACAAATTAGCTAATCAAAGACATGCCTTAAGAAGACTATCAGGCAGTGTAACCTGCTCACCCTATCCAAAATCCCATTAACTGTCGCCTCTCTTTGCCTACCATAACTCATCCCCTCACCCATCAACCCCAATTCAAAGCTACTCTCTCTCTCTAAAGCAATTTGGGTTGTCCATGTCGAATTGTCTTCAACCAGTAGCTTTTACATCTCCACTGATAGAGCCATTGGGCTGGCTAATTCAATTCTCATCTTGAGGAGAAAGGAGAGCTATGGGAGAGTGACCCAACTGCACATTTCTCAATTAAGCCTGCTGCTCGTCTTTTCCGCCCCTCCACGGGAGAACAGGAGAGGGCAGAAAGGGAGATTGAGGAGAAAGGAGTGAGAGCGACACAGAAGGTGACAATTACAGAAAATATGTCTCTAAAGCAATGCTTTAAAATCCTCCCTACAGCGACTGATGATGAGTGTTAAAATTTAAGGGGTTCAAATATGACGTGGCCTCTTGGCCTATACAAAGGGACCCATTGAGGCTGGTCAAACTCAAGCAGCAGGCAAGGCTGTTTCGTCTAGTGATGGAGGTGACAGAAAATGTGAGGTTTGCAGACTTAATAGGCTGCGTTATTCATCACATTATCACACTAGGGCATCCTTCTCTTCTCTTTTTTTTAATTATTATTTTTTTAACAGTTTTGTGTTAAAATCCTAAAGACTTAGCCACGTCTTTATGGTGTTCTCTGTTACTTGCAAGAAAAGAACATGTCAAATGGGAAAGTCTACACAAGATTGCTCCAAACCAACACGATATGAAAAAGGCGAGCTGACGAGGACAGAAGGCATAACTTGACCAACAAAGATGCATATCTTGTATTCTAATAAACTGATTTCACACAGTTCATTTGGTGAACCAGGACCCACTTATGTGATGTAAATACTGTAATCTAGGAGATTATCAAAGCTAATAAAAAATGTTAATGTACCGTGTTCTTGGAGGGTTCCCAAGGTTCCACTTTGCTGACGTCCTGCATATCCTGGAGTTGTCGCAATTGGGACAGAGTGTGGTGACGCAGTGCCTCATGAAGTGGTGTGTCCCCATCCTTGTCCTGCACGTCCAGCTTGGCCTCTGCCCGAACCAGCAGCTTTTAAGACGAACATTTAAACAAAGAGTCACACTAAGGCATTTGAGCGGAAAATCCAGCTGCCACCATTACACAACCTTAATTTTATGCTAGAATGGAAATGCCATCGAGCGTATTGATAAAGTTGCTGTGGACTAGGAATTACTTTAGTATTGTATTACACCCAAGTAAAGAGTGCATGTATTTTTTGAGTCCACAAGATGGCAACGTAGCAATCCTGGTCCCTCAGTACGACAAAAGATACTGCCTCAAAGAACATTTCCCCTCCCTTCAGAGACAGAACCTCATTCAACTGCAGGACATCCAACCGTGTAAATTAAATGTGGGGCTGCACTGATGTTGTTCCTACTCCCTTTTTGTGAAAGCAAGACTGTATGACAGATAACTACAGGCAGCCTGTTCACTTAGTGGTGCCAGTGAGGCAGCAAAAGAAGCAGAACAAATGGCGAAAAAGGTCCTAACCAAAAAGCATGCGCACTAACCCGAACTATCTGAGTGTGCTGGCGTTCCACTGCGAGGTGTAATGCCGTCTGCTGGTTGACATTCTGAATGTCTAAGCTGGCGTTGCCCTGGGAGGAGGAGAAGCATACACATGTTAACATGTAGGACCTTGCATATACAAACAATGCATAATGCGTCATATTTCTGCTTGTAGAAATTACAAAAAAAGAAAAAGAAAAAAAAGAAAAAAAAGATGAAACAGAAGGTGCTCAGCTTATGAAAGAACATACCAATCTTTCTGGTCTTTATTTACTTTCGACCAACAAAGTACCACAGAGGTGCCTGGGAAAAAGGCAGCCTACAACAATGCTGCATGTGATTGTCATTTCATAATGCAAACTCCTTGGCCAAGGAGATGTGCAGAAAGAGTAAGCATTGTGATCAGGCAGAGAGTAAACTCACAACATAATAAGACAGACTGGCTGGCCGGGAATCTGCAGTGCACCTACTGTGGTGCAGTTTCTGAGTAGAAAGCTGAGCCATCACTACGAACAAGCCCATTGCAGGAACTTGGGGGGGGCTGTCCCTGCTGAAAGGTAGCTTGCACAGCGAACATTCATGCGTTGGAATGTTGCAGCAACGTTACTGCCTTGCACCACATCCTCATTAACCCACTTTTAGCTTGATCAGGTGACTTTTGCTGTAAACTCATGTATGCGTTAGTCTTTAGGGAGCTAAACCTGCAATCTCAGAAGGGAAAAAAGGAGTGTGCACCTATAATTGCAGGAGGAGGAGGATATGGCCCAGCAGCACTAAAGAATACCCCCGGAGGTCTTATGAACCTTATGGATTCAATAATAAAAAAAGGAAGATAAAGGAGCTTCAACTGGTCTACAGCTTGCCTGCTGCAGGGAAAGAAATGAAGGCTTCATTCAGTAGTCTTTTTTTACATAAAGTCAAGTGTTCCGGGTGAATCTGCACTGCTACTATGTGGATACAAAGTGTGAAAAGGAATCTTTCACACATATGTTCCATTACATATGCACATAACTAAAAAGCTTCTACTTTCATCTGCTGCATTTTGTCATGCAGGTAAATGTGATTCCGGACACTTCTTAAAGAATTAATTCAAAGCATGTCTGGCTGCAGGACAAACCGACACTTTGAATTACACGAAACCTGCTGGGAGCACTGTCTGTGATCAAACCATTTATGTAGTCATATCAAAAACAAAACAAAACAAAAAAACAACAACTATCAGAGCATTTATTTCATGTCCAGTGAGAGGTCTTTTTGTTTCGTTTTAGAAACAGCTCCTGTATGTTGCTACCTGGTGCACCAGAAGTTCAGCTACTTCCACGTGGTTGTTGAGGGCAGCCAGGTGTAGCGCAGTGTAACCGTCATCCTTCTTCTCGTCTACAATCCAGGGCCTCGGCAGCTTGGACAGCAGCACTCGCATAGCGCTGCAGGGTAAAGAACAGATGAGGGAATGAAATGAGTGCATAGCTGGGATCTGGGAATTACATACAAAACTATGGGAATAAAGGAAGAAAAAAAACTCAAACCAATCAGGACATTTTGATTGTATATGTGATGTAAATGCCCAAAATACATCAGTCAGTGAACAACTTACATACAAAACACATTACAGTGTCTGTTTTGCTGATACACAACATATTACAATGCATGATTTAGCTCTTAACAACAGAGCATCTCCTATTTCCACACGTTGCGACAAGAATACCAAATCGACTTTGGTCGGCGTTGCTTTACCAAGCATGGTGTTATTTACATCCCGCTCTGAGCAGCAGAAGTGCTGCATGCTATCTTACAGCACCCGTCTCCCTACCATCTTCTCAATTAAAGAGGGAAGCCACTTCTCTCTTGATTATTTGCAAAAGTGCCCATCATTGGAAGGCAAAATGGTAATTATAAGAGAATTAGCTGCATTCAGGTCTCCTCTTGAGAAGGACATGGACATAATGGGATGGGGGAATTATCCATTGTTTATACAGGGCTTGGGAGCAGAAGTGGTCTGCTGGATAGAGCCAGTTCTGTGGCACTGAAGGTCATTTGGAGGATATGTGGATGATAAAGTGAAAGGCCCAACAGTGGCTCAAGAAAAAATAGCTGTTTTATAGTTTAACATATTCAGTTCAAATAGGTTAGAAAATGCAGCAGGGGAGAAAAGGGATTTCTAAAAAGTTCAAGAAAAGACTTGACGAGGTGCATTTGCATCTCAGAGACATTAACAGTTTCATCCATGGTAAACTTCACAGGACATCCGTCTCCCCTTTGCTTCTGACCCTACCTCCTTTCCTTCTTTCACCTTTTCAAACATAAAGTACACAAGGAATACAAAATACTGAAATATTTGAAGACTGATTCTTCTAATGAAAAAAGCTGAAATTAGAAGTGCAAAAACTATGAGACATGAAAGAAGATACTTAAAAGCCACATCCCTGGACCATTCCGGTGTCTTGTCTGTAGTTAGGTACACAGTGTTCTTTCAATAAGAATTAAAGAGGCTGTGCTGGAGCGAACACTTCTGACCTTGTTTAACCCTTAATAAGCATGCAGGGTATATCTTTGAACTGCGACAAAGGGATGCAGCAGATTTGACTCTGCCTGATAAGGCTGAATGGCACACACTGGAGTGTTTATGTAAGGTAAATGGGATCTCTCAACGTATGTGAAAATGGGCTCCGGCAAAAGGGGGAGAGGCCACAGCTTCAATAGTCAACCATTAAAACAAAGAGGGGAGAAAACAGAAATGCACACCAGTAGGCAGGCGAGCTTTAACACTGAAGATAATAAACACAAATGATTTTTTTTTGCGGGTTTTTAACCAAACAAATAGCTCCATCTGGGAAAGGGCATCAATGACGCATCCTCTCGAGGAAAGCAGAGAAAGAGGGGCAGAGAGGCATGGGCCAGGCAGCCGGCACCCCTGTTCGGTTGGAGATTTGGGGGCTGGTGTAGTGCTGCAGTGATGAACAGCGCAGCACACTGATCCCAGTCTCCCTCGCTCTCTCCCTGCCTCTCATTGCACAGCGGCTTACGCACCTACATTGCTTGCAGCCATCTTCAGCCACTTAATGCAGAGATGCACTGCTCATGTGTGATAGCAACCGCACCCAATCTGCCTAATCTCACATTCATAATGTACTGCCACCGTTACAAAGGGATGCGTGATTACATACTGTGGATTTTACTTCTCATAGGGGACTTCTGAGTAATTTCATCTATGGCTTACCCACAGGGGAGGAGATGACTTAAACAAGCAAGTTATTCAAGAAAAGCCACATCAGAGTTCTCCCTAAAGCTATTACACAAGTCTTATTCTCAGAGGTTAAACATAATATTCTCTTAGCCTTCATTCAAGAGAGAGTAATAATGAATGAGAACACAATTTATTTCACAGATTAGAAGAAATTGTTGTGAATAAAGCTGTTTTTCCTTTGTTACCAATTTTACCCTTCCTATTGGTATAAGACATAATATTCTAGAATCCGGATTGGACAAAAAAAGCTCGACTGTGAGGGTGGAGTGGCCAATGAATGTGCGCTGACTGTGATGCAGGAGCAGACGAGCACCTTAAAGTGTTGGAACCGGGTTCTTGAGTGCTAAACAGGTGTTTGCTTGTGTAAGCAAAGCCTCCAATATAAGTGTAGATTGACAGGCTCACTGCCACGCTGGGTGAAATGGGCAGACATTAATATTAATAACCCACGCTAAGATTGCTGCATTGCAGTTAAGCTATTTGCTGTAAAAGCAGAAAAAACAGAGTCTGAATTAAGATTAGAGAAATAAGTTCAAATTTTGTTTGTTTTTTTGGTTTCTGGATATCTGTTAGGATTGATGAGTGATTTTAAAGCAATGACTTGGGAAGTAATAAGAAGTACTGTATGATAGCCATTACGTGCAAAACTCTGATGGACACTTAGAGGATTTGTTTGTTAAGAAATACACCTGGAAATCAATGCTATGGCCATTATGAATGCAGGAGGGCGTACTGCTGGGGAAAGGATTTGGTATGGGGTCACTAAAAAGGGAGAAATGATGGAACTGGGTCATCCTGTGAGAGATCTGAAGAGTCCCCCAGGAAAGCTACATCAGGTCTTCTTGTTTTGGGTTGCAATTTGTCACTGACAGGAAGGCTCTCTGATGCCCTCAGCTCTGTGTATATTGGCATTTGTCACTGTACGCAAGACTGTGGAATTTTGTGCACATTTAATTGTTTGAGGGTCAACGGGGGCCCTTCTGCTGCCCTGGCCTGGCTGACAACCATCTGCGGGGTGGTCAGAACTCCTTATTATAACAGGAAGTGAGAGTCAGGGTCAGGGGACAATAACTTGGGTAGGACGGGGCAGAACAGGAACACTCATCTCCAAGTCTGAGATTAATGGCTGCACACAAGCATATGGTAACTGTGATGTTGGAGACGTGTTTGGCATAACACCTTTCATTAACTATGGCTTCATATTCAAGACATGGAATCAAAACACTGCCTTGGAAATGAGTCATTAAAAGGTGCCACCTGTTCTGTGGAAATAAAATACTTCACAAAATGAGCTTTGAAAATGATCAGTTAGAGGGTTTAAACGAAAAGAGATGGTTCCTTTCAAATGATAGGTTTTTTCTAGAGTCAATTTCAATTCTAAAGAAGTGCATTTGCAGGTATATGTCAGCTGCATCTATGCATTTCAGGGATTGTCGTTGCTAGACCCGTAGAGCAATAACAAAAAAAACATAGCCAACATGGACTCCAGCTAATTGCATTCTGTGAGCTTTGTCTACATATCCCTTTCCAAGTATAGGCCAGACATCTTTCCCCTGACGCACAGCATTTCTTGGAACAGCCTTTCCAGATGAGACCATTTCAGGCGATACATACGCTGTCAGCTCATTGAAGACTGAATCAATACTTTCAGGTCCTTTGAAATAGTGTAGGCTGTCCCCCACAAATCAGTCACAAAGGCAACACACTACCTGTAACAGACCCCCTCCTTCTCTCCTTTCCACTCAGATGAGAGCGGTACTCTTCATCATGTGTGAGAGATTTGGATGCAACAGAGTCCCTAAGTCACGGGCAGCTGGGAGGGGAAGACTCATAAAATTACTTCACCATGATTAAACCACACTGTTCTGAATAGTGTCGGGGGTTTGGGGCCTTTATAGCCATCCTATTCTGCATTTGAAAATTAAAACAGGCATGACACAAAGAAAAGATAAGGGTGAGCAGCTATTTCTATACAAGTGATTTCAGTCAAGGAGTATAGGCTCAGTTCAATATGTATATTGTGATCAACATGTCCAAAAGAAATGTAATTAGTCACAAGATTACTTTGTCAGAGCTGTCCCACAGGTATCTGCCCCAGTGCAAATAACTGAGTGAGGCCAAGAAACTAACTGGCATTGCTCACCAGAAAATACATTTGATTATTTAAAAAAAAAAAGCCCTTTCTTATCATGCCATGAGGAGAATAGTTTCCTCTAAAATGTGCCATTGCCCTCACAGCGTATACCTGAGGCCCCTGGGCGAGCGTGTTTATATTTACATGATCCAGCGGGAAAGGAGTACATCTCTATGATTGTTTTGGCACCATCAAACTATCTTCTGTTGCCTTGAATATTGTCTAGGTGATATGAAAGGAATTTTTAGACAGTCCCGGTGCACTCATCTGTCCACTTCTCAAGTACTCGGAGTCATAAAGGCTTTAATTAGCCGTAAATCACCAAGTGATCTGGGCTGTCCTGATTCATTGTATTTTCCCAAAAAAAGGAGGCAGCATGGCAGTCAGAGAAGCCCAATGGTGCGTTTATATCCCATTGCTTCAAGATGACCCAATTATTTGCCCATGCTACACATTCAGAGCGCTTGATATTCCTCGGTATCTTAAAAAAGCCACATGCTCATCTCTTTAACAGGCAGTATAGTTGTAATGTACATAATTTTAACCCAAAAATGAAGACTTACTTAAAGGAGGAGCACAAGTGTATAGGTTATGTTAAAGAGAAACTAGAAAAATAAAGAGGCTGCTTTTGGAGAATTGATAAAATCATAATAGATAACATAATTCCCCCCCAAGTTTTGGAGTTACACTTAAATCCAATGTAAAAGAGGGTAGAGAAACTATTATCATTTGAGACTGAATACTAACTAACTAAGGACCAACTTTGAGGACAACATACTAAATTCCCTTAGTATTAGAAATTATATTTTTAAATTACCACAACTTTAGAAAGAAAATAAAAAATAAAAAAAAGGCATAATTTCCAAAGAGACTAACCTTCTGAAACGGGGGCTAACTGACCATTTATTATAGTTGTTTCCCTTCAAACAATCTGGTAACAGAGTAAAGAAAATCCTCACTTCACACTGCTCATCCTCTCCTACGAGCAATCTGGAAAGTGATTCAGATTTGTGAATACTCCTAATACCTGCTTCAAATCCCACTTG